GGCGCTCCGGGCGGGCAGAGGCCGCACGGAAACGCCACTTAGGATGCGAAGCCACAGTGTCAGAGAAGCTGGGTTTTTACCTTTTACCGTGTTCCTGCTCTAGTTTGTGTTGGCAGGGCTCGCCAAAAGGGTTTTATTGCCCGCTGACGTGAGCTTAACAATGCGAGCTCCCCACCAGCGACCGGAGGGATGATAAATTAACTGCCCTCACACCTGCACCTTTTTTTTTTTACCCCCCAGTTTGATGTTACAGTCAGTTCTGTAGTAAGTAGAAGGTATGGTGCAATGCCAGGGACAGCCTATGCTAAATTACAAACAAATCCACCCACACATTACTAGAGAGTAACTATAATAAAGGCTGAAAAGCGAGTTTTAGCAACTGGATTAAAGCCAATTCATTCCTGGCACAAATTGAAGCTATAGGTATGTTGTCAAGATTAGTTCCACGGCGTTCATGTCTATTACAGTCATATTTTAAATAATGATATCTATATTAGATCAAAACAGGAAGGATCTGATCCAGAACATGAAGAAAAGGTGAAAAGCTGCACGTGCCCCACATCTCAGGAAGTTCACATTCAAGTCACAGCTTAAGTTTCTCTTTGCCTTCTCACAGCCTCTCTGAGCCATTCGAGGTGGGTTTTATCCTCCAACGAGTGAGAGACAAATTAGGGAGCAGATTATTTTACTCCTTATAATACCCGGTGATAATATCTCCCTCCAGAAATTGTTTGTTGCTGGTTTCCCTGTTTTTTTTCTGTTGATTCTGGAGCCGATCGGGACAAATCTCTCTGGTTTAGGTGGAGTATCTTTATCACTCGTGAGAGGAAATGATCAGGATTAACGAACTGCTGTCTGCAAAGACTTTTGACAGACCTGCACGGCAGAGGAAGTTTGGTGGCATTTTCTGGCCAGGCAGCTTTACTTGCAGGAGGCCTGCAGCACTACAGCTACACTTTACTTAATTATTTTGCTATGTGGTGTGATTAACAGAAGATGGAAGCTTTATTCTGAACCATAAACCAAAAAAAAAAAATTAGTGTGAGACTGTTGTAATATTTGCAGGTCTAATTTTGCACTAAGTTAGCAACAGGTAACACCACCAAAGCCTGGGGATTTTAGGCAGTAATTAGTCACAAAATAAGTAATTTATAAGCCATCTGACTAAATAGTCCAAGTTTTACATATAAATTCTCTCTTTATGAAGAAAAGCGACTGTATTTGAATAAACAGATGCTACTTGCATACATATATTTCTAGAGCTAACTTTGAGGGAAGTTATAATTTATATTTTCACTTTTAAAAAACGGGGGAAAAGGAGGGGGAAAAAGCACTACTGCTTCTGGACGAGAATTACCACAATGAGGCCCTTAAAATACACGTGTTTTTTCTCCCCTTTAGTGGGAATAGGAGTGGAGGGTCAGTTGGTAAACTGAACAAAGCTGTTTTCCCTGCTTCTTGTGTGGCAGCTCACACTTGTCACCTTTGTAACACTCGCAAACAAGCGTGGATGGGGGAATCAGTACAGGAAAATACAACTGCAAAGCAAAACGCAACCGAAGCTGAGAGGAAAGCCAGATAGAGAAGTCTGGTTTCGTTCAGCTGCAGATCCACGGCTGTAGAACCGGCTGTGTGTGACGGCGGCCGCCCCGACTCAGGCCCCGGCCCGGCTGCCGGCCGCAGGTTCCCCCGCAGGGCAGCGCTGCAGGAGCTGTACCCACCGCAGGTTCCCTCCCGAACGCACCTCCCCGAGCTGTCTCGCCTGTTTACATTCAAAAATCACTTTCCCGTGGCGTCCACGCAGAAAACAGACGTGCAGATTGCCCCTGCGAGCGATGGGTTACGTGTGCTTATCAGGGAGCCATGACATCTCTGCTTACCTCTCGGAGGGTTCGCTTGGCACAACGCAGTCCTCCGAGGCTCCCTGAAACCTAAAGCAATCCAGCCATTAAAGCACTTAAAGACACTAAACACTGTTAGGCAGAGTGGCGGTGACATCCCCGTCCTGTACCATCCTCACTTCTTCGCCCTGGGAAGGGAAAGCGAAGTCCTCGCGTCTTCTTGGTGCCCGGGCGCGGCTCCCCTTCAAAATGGCACTTTCGAATCAATCAAGGACACCAGAAACGCGGGAAGCAAGGATCGCTCTCGTGGACGGTCGCCTTCCACCGCTAAGACAACTTGACATTGACCCTTCATCCTTGACCTTGTCCTCAGGACGGGAGAGGAGCCCGCGCCGCTGCCGG